GTAGTTTTAGGTTGCTGCACTGAGGGTATTATTTTAAGTTGTTGTTGCACAGTAGAGGTAGCAGGAGAAGAAGTTACTTTAGGAGCTGTAGTAGCTGGTTGTCGTTTTGAAGCCATTTCAATTTATCTTTCTTTCTTCATAAAAATACCAATAAAAAGTAAATAGTCCAAAAGTTAAAAATAAGGTAAAATAGAATAAAATAGAATCAATTTAAAAGCTCCCAAAAGATAAAGAAAAACTTAAAAAGGAAAGCAGTATTAAACAACAGTTCAACCAGTCCGTCTTTCAAAAGAAAAAAAAACTTTCAAAACGCCATTTTACTTTCACTCTCACTTTTCCTCCCGGGAAGAAAAAGAGAAAGCTTAAAAAATAAGAAAAAATCAACACATGCTAAATAAACTAAATAAACTAAATAAAAATAAAATAAAACTAAACTATAAATAAAATCCTTTAAACAGTTCTGTCCGGTTTAAGATTACTCACGGTTACTTTAAATACGGAGATGGTAGCGGCGTTTCACTTTGTTTCCGAAGAAACAAAGACAGCTGAGAGGCGGAGAAGGCAATGAACTCCGAGGGAGCACTCTTTTTACCCCCCTAAAATAAAAAAATCCAGGGAGGGTTAAGAGGTTCTACCTCTATTCATGCGATCTCTACCCCTTCCCTTCGCCCGGGAAGGGGATTGCGAGCCGCGGGCCAGCTGATGAACGCTGTGCTCCGCGGATCAAACACCATCTCAGGAGGACGGCTACAAAGTAGCCGCCATCTCCACCGCTTTAACCACCGGAAGTCCAGTGGCTTTTTAAAAGCCTTCAGTGATGAAGCACCCACAACTTCTGAAGGCAAGCCATTCCACAGGTTGATTGTTTTCATTTTTGGGAAATCTCTCTTTAGTTCTAGGTTGCTTCTCTCCTTGATTAGTTTCCATCCATTGTCTTCCTTCTGTTGTTTTGGAAAATGGGTTGACCCCCTCTTCTTTGTGGCTGCCCCTCAAATATTGGAATACTGCTATCATGTCACCCCTAGTCCTTCTTTTCACTAGGCTAGACATACTCAATTTCTGCAACCATTTTTCATATGTTTTAGCCTCCAGCTCTTTAATCATCTTTGTTGCTCTTTTCTGTACTCTTTCCAGAGTCTCAACATTTTTTTAATAATACGGTGATCAAAACTGGATGCAATAGTCTAAGTGTGATGTTACTAAGGCTTTATAAAGCGATTCTAATAATTCATGTGATCTTGATTCTATCCCTCTGTAAATGCAACCTGGGATTGCATTGACTTTTTTGGCTGCCACCACACACTGCTGGCTCATATTTAAGTGACTGTCCACTTAAGATCCCTCTTATAGTTACTGCTGTTCAGCCATATTTCACTTAATAGGTACCTGTACATTTGGTTTTTCTTGCATAATTGTAAAATCTTACTTTTCTTTACATTGATTTTTATTTTGTTCAAGTCTGTCGAGATCTGGTCAAGACTGAGTGTTAATAACATCTCGTACTTAAAAGTAATGTGTTTTTTTTAAAGAAAGGATGCATTCAGTCTGATGATGAAAGATGTTTCTATTTATTTATTTAGCATATAGCAACAGCAATAGCACTTAGACTTATATAGTGCTTCACAGTACTTTACAGCCCTCCCTAAGCAGTTTACAGAATCAGCATATTACTGCCAACAATCTGGGTCCTCATTTTACCAACCTCAGAAGGATGGAAGGCTGAATCAACCTTGAGCAGATGAGATTCGAACTGATGAACTGCTGGCAGCCAGCAGTCAGCAGAAGTAGATGAGAGAAGAGCAACAAAGATGATTAGGGGACTGGAGGTTAAAACATATAAGGAACAGTTGCTGGAATTGGGTATGTCTAGTTTAATGAAGAGAAGGACAAGGGGGGACATGATAGCAGTGTTTCAATATCTCGGGGGCTGCCACAAAGAAGAGAGAATCAAGCTATTTTCCAAAGCGCCTGAAGGCAGGACAAGAAGCAACAGATGGAAACTAATCAAGGAGAGAAGCAACCTAAAACTAAGGAGAAACTTCCTGACACTTAGAACAATTAACCAGTGGAACAACCTACCTCCAGAAGCGGTGAATGCTCCAACACTGGAAGTTTTTAAGAAGAGACTGGAGAGCCATTTCTCCGAAATGGTGTAGGGTTTCCTGTCTGAGCAGGGGGTTGGACTGGATGACGTCCAAGGTCCCTTCCAACTTTTTTATTATTATTATTATTTTGGATCATCGCACAGTCAACCAGATGTTCAGACTGGATTTGGCATTTTGTCTACCTATTGAGTCCTTACCCAGGACCTGGGATAGGCAGATGTGGATGTTTGATGGTATTATAGATATCGTCGCAGGATGGAAGCAGTTCCTAGTAAGGCCGCCTTTTGCAATTGACTAATAGCGAATTTGTTAATGCCAATGGTGTTCAAGTGGTGCTCCAGTTGTTTTAGGATTGCACCCAAGAAGCCTATGACTATTGGTACTACCCTTGCTTGCTTTTGCCACAGTCTTTCTATTTCTGTTTGTAGGTCTTTGTATTTTGTTATCTTCTCCAGTTCTTTCTCGTCTATTCTGCTGTCTCCAGGCACTGCCACGTCCACTATCCAGACTTTTTTGTCTTTCTTATCGACAATTGTTAAGTCTGGGGTGTTATGTTGCAGGTGCTTGTCTGTTTGAATTCTAAAGTCCCAGAGAAGTTTAATTTTATCATTTTCTATGACTTTCTCTATTATTATTATTATTATTATTATTATTATTATTATTATTATTATTATTATTATTATTATTATTATTATATCATTATCATCATCATTATCATCATCATCATCATCACAAATGTTGGACACAGTGCAGTCCTGACAGTCTGGATTGCTAATTTATTCTATTTTGGATCTTTATGTACTGTATATGTTTTTAATCACATGGATGATAATGCTGAAAAAAGTGTTACTGAAAGTAAAATTTTGTTATTTTCTACCCAGTGGAGAAGTTAAAGTTGTATTTTTTGTATTTTTATAATTTCTACAGAATGAAATAACTCCAGAGAGGAAGTAGAGCTTCTTAGTCTAGGAGGAAGAATTAGACTTCTCTAAATTAATCTCCTGGATTCAATGAAGTTTCTTTTTTTTAATGATATTATCAGCAATTTCTGACTCTCTTTCACTTTCATTCTCAATCTCACCCTCACTCTCCTCCATCCAAACTGCTCTTCAATATATCCCAGCCTTCTTAGTTTCCTGAAATTTTAGCTACATATAAAAAGGAGAAATCTATCTAGTTTACAGCATTATGCTGAACTTGTATTTTAATACCCAATGAATTACAGAAAGTTGAAGTAATGGAATCTAATATCAGTACAATATATTCTCAATCCTTTCCAAACAAATAAAACTAACTGATGTATAAACTAAACTAATTAGATGTATAAGGAAAATAGCTAAAGCAAATGTTGTTGTTGTTGTTAGTTGCGAAGTCATGTCTGACTCATTGCGACCCCATGGACAAAGTTCCTCCAGGCCTTCCTGTCCTCTACCATCTTCTGGAGTCCATTTAAGCTCACACCTACTGCTTCAGTGACTCCATCCAGCCGCCTCATTCTCTGTCATCCCCTTCTTCTATTACCCTCAATCTTTTCCAGCATTAGACTCTTCTCCAGTGAGTCCTTCCTTCTCGTTAGGTGGCCAAAGTATTTGAGTTTCAACTTCAGGATCTGGCCTTCTAAAGAGCAGTCAGGGATGATCTCTTCTAGGACTGACCGGTTTGATCGCCTTACAGTCCAGGGGACTCGCAGAAGTCTTCTCCAGCATCATAGTTCAAAGGCCTCAATTCTTTGGCGCTCAGCCTCTTATGGTCCAACTTTCACAGCCATACATTGCAATTAACAGAATATCAAGATACTTACACCCCATTATGATAATCCTAATATATTTAAGAATATGCTTTATGGTTCCCCCTTCAGGTTGAGAAATTGGGGACAAATTCCAGCAGTACCCCATCTTTGTCCCATTTGTCTTTCATTTCTTAACAGAATATGAGATTATTTGTGCCCATAAAGACCATCTTGTACTGAATCATCCAATTTGTCATCCTCGTCTGATGCCATGGACACGTACTGCAGAGATACTCCAGTCTGTCTGGAGGTCCTAGGAACTGATTCTGTGACCCTTTACTGTATACTATAGTAAATGTGAGATTGGGAGGAAAGTTCATAGGAAACATTGCAGAGAAAAGGCGCAGCTGACTAATGAAAAGAGTGAATTGGACAACTTTGCAGGGTTTAGCTGGAAACCCCACTTGTGCAATGAAAGTCTCCTTCAATGTGAATGGAAACCTTGTTGCATTCAAAGTAATAAGATGTGTATGTCAAGGTCTTATTCTGATTAAATCTTTGAATTTGTTGCTGATGTAAAATATCCATGTCTGGGTTTTTTATAATTTAATAACTTTGAAAGTATTATTTTTTTCCTCATGATTGTAAAAGGAAAGATCTTCAGCATTCATTTAAAGCAACATATTTTGCAACATTACTGTAATAATGGTAATAAAAACATAAGTGTGACACCCTTGCCATCTGAAAAATAACAAGGGATTGAGCACTGCATCTAAAAATGACAAATAATTAACTAATATCTTATTTGTAGTAAAAAATATTATTTGCTCCCAGTATCAAATTATCTGTTAAAAATGGGCAAGCTTTTGATGCCTGAAGGATTTGAATCACCCAGAAATCACAGAAGACGTGGAAACGATTCCAAGTGAGCAGGTTCAGAATTTTTTGTTGTTTTGGGAGAAGGGATACTTGAGAGTTTTCTTTGCTTTTTTAAAAATGGCTATAGCATGGGGGGGGGGAGAAGAGATTATGAAACAAAAAAAAACGGGAGGGTGGTGAGTCCCAATGCAACAATTGAGTCTTTAAGCAAATCACACCTGGATTAAAATAAAGCTTCTTAAAGGGAAGGGGAGAATAATGGGAGAATTACAGCAGAAATCTCTTACCTCCTTGAAAAAATTTCATTGGATACACAATAGCACGGTATCTGTCTATGCTTAGTGATACTAAAATATATGTTGAGGCATACAAAAGTACAACCTAAAGCAGAAAGAAAGAAAAAATAATAACTGGTTATAGAAATGTCTGCAAGTTGTTTTATGCATAAACCAAGGGAATAATTCTACTTTCTCTTATTGGAAATAGCCAACTAAATTCAATACATTTTATGCTTTCATAACCACAGAGCAATTTATGCATCTCTATTTAGACATCGGATCCATTCTGCTCAATAGATCTTTCTCCTAGGTAAATATATGTTTTAGGCATGTCCAATCTGGTGCCATTTAGCCAGGCTGAGGCTCTGAACTCCCAGAATTTCCCTTCAAGGATGCTAATTGATACAACTGGCTGGAATTTCTATGAACTGTAGTACCAATATATTTGAACTGAATGAGCAAAGTACCTATTTGGAATGTTTGTTATCAGATATGAACCTAAAGCTGCTGCACAGCCAAATCTATAATGTTGGGAATAGGCCATACATACATTATTTACATATTAATGTATTATTATGGTAACTATCTGAAGCTTATCGGATTATCCATGCGTTGTTTCTACAATATATGCTTAAAATAGAAAATCTCACATCTGTTGCTATATTACAGAATATATTATTCTGCACTGCAGTCGAATATAGTGATAGAGATATTTATAAATGGAGAGCAAGAGTGTAACAATACGTGGGAATACAGGTAATCCCCCAGATACGAGCGTTTATTTAGCGAGATTTCACAAAAACAAGGTTATTTAGAAAAGTTACTTACATTAGAAATTCAAAATTGCGATCAAAAACAGGCCTCTGTAGCCATGGGACTTGGATTCAGTCTCGGCTGCTGCAGTGGCCATTTTAACTCTGTGATCTGCCTGGGTCGTTTTGGGCCTATGAGAAGCAGGAAGTGGGTTGTTTTTTTTTTTTTTTTTTTTTTTTTTTTTGTGTGTGCCTGGTCACATGGCCAAACAAGATCCAGTGATTTTTGCAGCTGTCAGGACCATTTGTTTTTGTTTTCCTGGAGCTGCGTGAAAGATGTGCTGCTTGCTGGGCTTGAGGACTACAGTACTGTAGAGAGCTAGAATTACTTCTTTAAGTATTTTAAAATATTCTTTTTTGTTACTCTATAGTTTTGTACTGTATTGTTTATAATCACGCTGGGAACTGCTCTGCTTTTTATTGTGTTTGTAAGTGCAGTACTTTGCTAGATTGTTTGTTTGCATTTGCCTGAAACTTATAGCATATGGCTGCTACTGTCTCCTCTCCCTAGCACAGGCCTACCAGAAATTCTGCCTGGAGAGGATGATCAGGGACAGTATTTTGTTTTTTTTTTTAAAGGTTTTAAATTTAAATTGCCTCCAGAAGTTGTGGGTGTTCCCTCACTGGAGGCTTTTAAGAAGAGACTGGATAGGTATTTATCAGAAATACAGTACAGTAGTGTACTCTCTTGTGAGAGCAGTGGGGTAGACTAGATGACCTCAAGGTCCCTTCCATCTCAGTTACTATTGCAAGCCAATAGTTCTGTAAACTCCACCCCATCTCCCTCTACATGTCTGGCTGGAGATGCTTAAGCTAATGGCCGGCAAGTATGTGTGTGTGTGGGAGGGGGGATTTAAAGCAATCGGAAATTTGTGTAAACTCCTGGAGACACTTAAGCTAATTACTTTAGTGACAGCTGCAATGGTACAGTTCTCCTCCCCCCTCTGAAGAAGCTTTGCCTAACAACAAATGGTCTTTTTTTAAAAAAAAAAAAAAAAAGCTTACTGCTTGAGAGGCAATTTACAGTATTGTGGTTACTGAAACCGGAAACAGCTGTTTGACGGATGGAAACAGCTGCAGTAGCGGCAGGAAAAGCCTCTCAGTTCAGGCAGCCATCAGAGGAAATAGTAAATCAAATCTTCGTTCCTTTAACGACCCATTTGATTCAATTAATGAGTTTGATTTTAAAATTTTTGCAATATTGAGTCTGATTACGAGTCTAATGGGCAGGCTCTATTAGGCTCGTACCTTGAGGACTACCTGTAGTGTCAGAACAATACCAAAGTGACCTAAGGCTGACATTTCTGCAAATATGGAGAGTCAGTTTGCTCTAGTGGTTAAAGCACCAAACTAGAAACCAACAGACCATAAATTCTGGTCGACCTTAGGCAGGAAAGTCGCCTGGGTGAAAGTCTCTCACAGCCCAACTCACCTCACAGTATTGATCTTAGGGGGAAAATAGGAGAAAGAAAGAATATTTAGGTATATAAACATTAGATATGTTTGCCACCTTGAATTATTTATAAAATAATAAAGATAGAATAAAAACTCTAAAAAATGAAATCTATGGAAGCACATTTCACGCTGCCATTTGTATTGCTCCATTTTTTAGGCAAATGGAGGTTTCAAAATCACTGTAAAGTTAAAATGTGACAGTTCTAATGTTGATTGACTTATTTTTAAGAATTCATGTGGTCTGTTTTCAGTTATTTGGATTACCCTAAATCCACTTAGGAGAAAATTCTTTTTAAAATCATAAGTCATTTGTATTTAAATACAGGAAATGGCATTATAAAAATTCTTTTCTTGCTTTATGTTTCTGAATGAGCATAACAAAGAAAGAATGATCAACGAACATTACTTATAGAATACAATTCTGCAATGTAGCATGTTTCTATTGTAAAAGGTTATTATAGCTTGTATTTTTAAAAAGGGGGGATTTCAAATTCTACATACTTTGCTGGCTAAAGTATTTCTTCTTCCATCTGTCCCTATACTCATTATAGAGTCTATAATCTATAATCATCATCATAGAGAGATTAAATTTTTCACAATAGACAAATCAGCACTTTGACATTTAGAATACTATTTAGCTATTCTTGTACTGTACCTGCAGATACCGAACAATTCGGCAAACAAGATCAGGGGCCATGAAATCTCCAGTGAAGCGCCAAATTATATCAGTCATTATACTTATAAGTCCTGTAAAACAATCTGTTCAAAACATTAGACAATTAGAGAGGAATACAAATATTTGACAGTGCTGTACTGTTATAATCACTAATTTTATTCCTCCCATTTTACAAATAGTGCTCAAATTCTGAGGTTGTTAAGGTTCCTTAATTTCTCTTACCCTCTGTTTTAGGAAGACATCTAGAAGATTTTTCACATGCTCTGCACATATCCCTTATTTCTATTGATTAAGTAGGACTTTTTCTGAGTTAGCTTTATGGTAAACCAGTTAGGTAAAAACACCTTGTAGTAGGAATTTTGAACCACAGACAAATACCAGATGTTCCAAAGTAAATTTAAAATTTAAAAAACATGCTGTTCCATAAAGTATTACATACTGTCCTAACTGTTGATAATGATGCTATGTTAAACTGGAAAAGGATCAGTCATGCCTGGAAAATGAAAGGAAAGAAGAACAATGAAAAAAATAATCTCAGTATTGATTTTGATAATCCCAGCTTGGATTCTGCCTTAATGCTAAATAGCTGAAAATTATATTAACAACTCAGTTATTGCCATTTTTAAATAATTCGTGGTTGCCAATAGTAAGTCAGATGAACTAAAATTCTTCACTGAGAAATTTATGATGAGTTCATAAGAAGCAGCATTTGGGGAGAATTTACAGGAGGAGAAGTTAAAGGAGAACTAGCCCTGATGGTTACTGAAACAAAAATGAACTGGACTGGGGCAATGTAGGGTGTGAAAGTAAAGCATAATAAAGAACGGGGAAAAAACTGCTTTCTCCCTCGCTAGTGTTTTAAGGACCTTAAATGCAGGAATATACTTGCATCCTAAGCCATTTAGTGTACTTGCAGTATAAGTACTCTTATTGTCTTCTGTAAACAAATAATAAATTACATCTTGCTGAAATAAAAATTAGTACGGGCAAATGGCCTAAGAGAGGAGTAAACATGGTTTTTCTTGCCAATATCTCATGTTATTTAGTGACCTGAAAGAAATTAATTGGCTTGTTTGGAAATTATAATATATTAGATTTATAAAGCTACACATCTCACAATAGCAACTCTAGAACAGGGCTTTTCAACTGGTGGTCCGCGTACCACTTGTGGTACATTAATGAGTGGCAGGTGGTACGCAGCCCTGCCTAGCCAAGTGTAGTGGGGGAGGGAAAGAGCCAGCACAGTCCTCTGGAGCTGCAAAGGCCCCAGGCTCACTTCTGGCTCACCCTCCCCCATGAGAAAGGAGGAGGGGGCTGGAGACAAGAGAGCCTATAAAAGGAGGCAGTTTGGGCAGGAGAGGGAGAGAGAAAAAAGGCAGCAGCCTTGGGAGGAGGCAGAGTCAGCTGCACCAGAGGGGGAGAGGAGATCAAGCAGGCTGGCATGAGCCGATCTACAACTGCTGTGGCAGCCACCTGCTGCTGGCAGCAGCAAACAGGCAAGAAATGCAACGGGGAAGGGGTCACCCTCCAAGAGGAATGAAAAAAAGGCAGCAATGGCTGGAGGTGAGGCATGGAGGAGGGAAGGAGATGGAGGGTGGAAGGATTCTTATGTGCATTTGTGACTTTGAAGTTCTGGGATTTGTGCAATGAGGGCTTTGTGTTCTTAAGGAGTGTTTGGCAATTTCTCTTTGGCTGATGGCTGATGTCTCCTGTTAGCGGCTATTGCTCTGCTGTTGTTAGCTGTAAGTTTTGCTGCAAGGGATTTTGAAGTATTTTTCTCCTGAATGGATTTTGCCTGTAACATTCCTTTACTTATGAATGGAGCCATTTGGGGAGGTTGCCTTAGCCGGCAGCCAGTACTTACTTTTTTTTTTTCTTCCTTAAGTGCCGGCTGCACTGCTTACTTTCTTTTCTAGTAGCTAATTCTTAAAGGGGAATGCGCCTTAAGCTAGTTCACTTAGCAGCTTCTCTTTTCTGTCTCTGGAGGCCTTTCCTTGTTTGATTAATATATGGAAGAGGGAAAATATGGGGGGGGTCAAATTCTTCCTTCAGAAGAGATGGGAATGAGAAAAAGGAAGGCAGGGAAGGGAGGGAGGAAAGGAAGTCCCACCTTAGCACTTGGCCACCAGCAGCTCTGCCATTGACTTTGCTTGTCAAAAGGTTGCAGAAGGGGATCACATGACCCTGGAACACTGTGACCATTATAAATATGAATTAGTTGCCAAGCATCCAAATATAAATCACATGACCCTGGGCATGCTGCAATGATCATAAGTGTGAAAAATGGTCATAAGTCATTTCAGTGCAATTGCAACTTTGAACAGGTTTTTTTTTTTTTGGTCATCAAGTTTTTGACACCTTGCTAGGTGGTACTTGAATACTGCCTTATCCTAAAAGTGGTACAATCAGTAAAACGGTTGAAAAGCTCTGCTCTAGAATGCTTAGAGCAGGGGTGTCAAACTGCCGGCCCGTGGGCTGGTTTCATCATACCGGAGCCGCGCCCACCCTATTGCTGGCAATGGCAAAAAAGCTCCGATACATTGCACGATGTCATGTGACGTCATGAGTTTGACATGCCTGGCTAGTATTTAAGAACATTACACCAACATAAAATAAAATATAAAAGCAGCCAATCTGGACAAACAATAACCATGTAACAAGGTCTAAGGAATTCTGGCTGAGGAATTCTGAGAGTTGAAGTCCACAAGTCATAAAAGGGCCAAGTTTGAAGACTCCTGCTCTAAGTAATGCTCCAACCTCCATGCCCAGGGACAGCATAACTTTGTAATTTTGCTGTAATATTGATGATTATTGGAATATTTTTTTAAGATTTTAAATTATTAATTTTAAATTAATATAATTTCTTTTTTATTGAATTTGTAAATAAATGATGTGTTGCCAAGGAGGCTTATAAAAATGTGTCGGTATCCATAGTACTTAACCAACCTAAAATACAATGCTACCCACAATCATATTCAAGGTCTTTTGATAACGGAATTAATTTTCTTGAGCAGGTAAAGGAGAAAAGAATAAATTGAGTGGGTGAGGGGAAAGGGGAAGAGGACAAAAAGCAAGGAAAAAACTGATTTAGTCCTCCAAAATTCTTTCTCAAGTGAAGTTTTAAAAAATCTCTACAGTCTTGTACTACATGGATCACAGCATCAAAATCACTTAAAAATTCATACTTACCAAGAGTAGAAAACTATTGAAGTTAAAGCTAAAACTTAATAAAACAATGATTGAATGGGTGGAATATATATAAGATCATCTCTTCAAAGTGTGCCACGTCAAGAAACAGGCATAGCAGGGATGCCAAGACTGCTATTTTATTCTTGTAAGATATAATCTTTTAAGGTGTGATAATAAATCTTACAAGCTTGTCAAGTATTTCTCTATTTCATCTTATACTAAACAAAATCAAGGAAGATTGATTGTTCCTTTTTCCTAGGACTGTGTAATCTTTTCTCAAAGGACTACACCAAAACAGATACTTTAACACAGGGAAGTGGGGGGAGGGGACAGAGAGCAGCTCCATCTTAATTAAGCTAGGTATACGCTATGCTGAGTGGGAGAATTTCTTTGACAGGCATTACCATATTAGCAATAACTTATTCCAAAACCCAAAATGGTTCTTGTTCACTGAATTTGCCAATCTGGCTTGATAATAAGATCGTAATAGATGCCTAAATCATTTTGATGCAAGGGCTCCAGATATCACTATTAACACTTTCACCATATAAAAACTGCAGCTGTTCCTTGTACCTGTTCATGCTTCTGTAAATAACATGATCATTGAAGGGCCTTCATGCCTTTAGGATATGAAATAAGAACAGAATTCTCAGTCAATGTATGGAGGGATTGGAGACACTCCATTCTCATGTGCCTCCAAAGTCTCCAAAAATCACATGAGAACAGGGTGTGGTTTCAAGAATAGTTGTTGTTGGGTGTTAGCAAATTGGTGAATGCTGGTGTGTCACCCAAAATATTGTAGCATATCACTTTTGACACAAATATCATAAGTTTGCCATCATTGTATTATTGTCAACTCTACAAACGAATTTGGCTGAAGCCATTTCCCCTTCATTTTCGGTTGCCATAGAGTTGGGAGGGGGGATGAGTATTTTCTAGCTTAGTCAAAACAATAAATTGTTCTGTGGGAACCAAGGTCATTGCTGATTGCATTTTGGAGGACTGAAGCGTTGGTTAGAAAGCCCGCTCAAGTAGTTAATTGGGGAATGTGATTTATGACATATTACTGGGGTGGGAAGTTCAACTTTGTAACACTGTAATCTTCCCCTCCCACCCCCACCAGTGATACAAGTGAAACCCAGAGGCAATCTCTTGAAACCCTGAAAACTGCCGTAAACTCCCCGCCTGGGATGCCACTCATCCCAAGCGAATACTGAGACTTAACTGAGGTATTCAGCAAGACAGAGTGTGACATCCTGCCCTCCCCCGAGCGACCAATTGTGTTATTGAAATTTTGCCAAGAACCAAACTGCCCAAGCCAAAACTGTACTCAATAACCCCCCCCCCCGTGAGTTGAGAGAACTGAGGGAGTACATTGATAAGAACTTGGCTAGAGGATTCATTCAGCCAGCAAAATCCCAAGTAGCTGCCCTTGTGGTTTTTAACGAAAAAAAAAGATGGCTCACTGAGGCTGTGTGTTGATTTTAAAGGGTTAAACAGGGTCAGCGTGGAGAATATGTACCCCCTCCCTTTAATGTTAGCCCATTTGGCAAAAGGAAAGTTTTTTTTACCATGCTGGACCTAAGAAAGGAGTACTATTGTATGAGAGTTAAAAAAGGAGATGAGTGGAAGACAGCTTTTAACAGCTAACTTTAATGCAAAGAAAAAGTCAGCACTGGGAGTGAATTGCTCCCAGTGCCTTACATAAATGTGCCCCGCCCTCCAGCCCCATCCCAATCAGCAAGCCAGCATCCGGTCTGTATGGATAAAATCTGTAGCTCAAATTCCGCCTCCCCCCCCCTTCAGATGCATCAGCGCAGCCTCCGCAGCCCCAGCTGTCCTGCCTGGTATCCATCCAATGCCCAGTTCCGGCATGGCTCCACAACAGGTAGCT